TTGTCTCAGAGAGGCACACACCACTGACGAAATTCGAATAAAGACGTAAAATCTACACACAGAATGGTAATGGCAAGACGAAACTGCTATTTTATTGGGATAAAAGATATTATAAGCATCTGCCGAAGGAAAGCAATAAAAGAAGGGGGTGATTCCTAGGCCACAATTCCTATTGGTCCTGTAAGCATCTGGCAATCACATCCTTACTAGAAAATACCCGTAAAGAATGACAGTAAAATTTATATAGTACTGAAATAATTGTTGCTGAAAACAAAAGAGCACATGAAAGTTAAAATAATTAATTATCTTTGTTTAACTAAAATATAATACTATTAAACGCAGTGTAAATAGTAATTTTTAAAAAATATTATCACCAACCAACAACGAATATATATTTAAATATATTACACAGAATACACACTGCGGTATTTGAACAACATTACAATTCAAGGTTCTCTGAATTTGTGCTGTTCTGTCAACAATCAGGTTCCGATCAATAATTGAAATAGTAGCAAACAAAACTACGTTTAAAAGGTGTGGTTATGTACGTCATCAAAATTTGTTTAAAATATAGACATTAGATTGTATTAATAGTTCGATTCTTTGTTTTATTAACAAGAAAATTAATAATGAGATAAATACTAAATAAGTATTATGTTGAATAACAGAGTGCCCCAAAAAGTTTAATACACAGCACCTGCTTCAGTGGTGTCTCGTCACTCAGTCGTTCACCGCTGTCAACTTTGCCACGAAACAAAAGGTGGTCATTTTGAACATCTTCATCAGATTCGCTAAATCACTAAATGTCAATACTGACGTATGTAATGGTTTATTTTTATTAAAATGTCTTTATTTCATTCCTTGAAGTCGTGTATACATAGTTTTTGTGACACTAAGTGTATGTAAAGTTGAACGCGTTTGTTAACGACAGAACCTTACTCCACAAATTCATGCGATTCACGGGCGAGCCTAATTTTTATACTGCACTCAGCTCAACTCAGTATTAATTTTAAAGAAATTATAATTACAACGGATCACCGGACTAAAGCAAACTTAATTTTCGAAAAGCTGTGTATATCAGATATACTTCAATATAATTTTCCTTTTACCAACCAAGTATCAGAAGACTGTACAGTAATTAAAATACGAGCATCGCAGGCCGTATGGATAATTAAAATTAAATAAGGAGACACTCAGGCGTAGATTCAGTATAGGACCGGATATCTCAGAGTCTTTAACAAAGATGGCGTCCACAATTAAATTTATTTTGCTTGGGTGAATTTGTTAGATTTGAGATAAATTGGAGCCTCGTCTAGATGCAGCAAAAACACTTATTGCGAAGCGCAGTTAAAGGCGAACATGCCATAATGACGATAGTCCCACTGGGAAATTTCAAGGCGATCATGTTCCACGACATATCTTCAGACAGACAGTAAACGTAATCGGTTAAACCTTGTGTTTAAAAATGCCTACGTGTGCTTCAGGGACACACGGACCTTACTAGATATGAGGTACGAGAGAGATGCTGATCAGATGTCATCTGATTTCTAGAATTTGTTTGGATGAAAAGATAAAAATACTTTGCACGTCAATACGACTCGAAACTGCGCCGAATTCTACAAGAATACGAAGTCGGAATATCGACAATTACACAGTGTTCGATATTATTAACTGTGAATTCTTGAAAACTACAGAAGATACTCCAATGAAGCATGTTCGGAGTGAGACTCCAACAGGAAGTGCCGATTGCGAGGCAAATACAGCGTTGAGCTGCCGCACCCCAAGGCAAATTCCTCTGCACACCTCACATCCGCTTACCGTCTGTCTGTCTACTGCAGAAGAATAAGAATGGCGAAGGTACGAAAGCAGCATCTGACTTTACGCGGAATTAAGACTTTTGAAGCAGTGAACATATTTACAAATGAACAGATCATATGTTGTATTACAGAATACATTTATTTGTTATTTAGTGCTCTATCTGACGACAGGTCCATATGAACAGGATCCTTCCATCCTTTTCTCGGACTGGGACCTGTTCATATACGTTCTTGGCAGATGATCCAGAAGTGGTTTGCCATTGCCTTCTTCTGTGTGTGAATGGAGTAATTGTTGGGATGCCACGGAGAAACCGGGGAAGTCCCCGGAGGAAAACTCCGTGTTGCCTAGACCACGGCCTTGCCCAACACAAGTTATAAATTCGGGCACCGCCTGGAATCGAACCCGAGACCCCCCAGGATTACAAGACCACTCACCCAAGCTGTAAGTTACTGTGGCGGTCTACAGAATACATAAACCACGTTAAATTCGCCGCCGTGAGAACCTCAAATCTCACCCATAAAATTTGCTTCCTACCCTAAAGTAATCGCAACCCTTGGTTATGGATACCATGAAACCTAAAATATGAGTACGTGGTTTATCCTTGGACCCCGCTGAACATCAAAATATGCCATGTCCGCTTTCCTTCACATAATTTCAGGTTCAACGTACAGTGCTCGTATCGTTTCAATTACAGTTTGAAGCTTTGAAAGCGTTGTTAAATAAACTAAAAAATATATATCGTTGACACGCGTTTTCGAGAAACTATTGCACGGAACGTGATATTGGACTGCCTGGAGCAGAAAATCATTAACAGTGATTCTGAACCAAAATGTGAAGAGGAGAATTTGCCTGTGGGCAGCAAACAACGTGAATGTTTCGATACTGCGTCGTCACACGGTTTCTTCTTCGTAACAGCGTGCACTTAAATGCTCTGTTTTCGGTCGAGAGCGTTAATTGCGAGGGTCTTGCTTGACGAACCAAGCAACATACTCCGAGCCTGCACAAGCCAGGCGTGAAGTTTCATCCTCCTCTACGAAGTGGAAGGAAATTACAGCAATATGAGTCAGTCACGAGGTGTAACTTCCATTGTCAAGCTGAGCCTTAATTGTACAGGTAGCTCAACAAATATCTACACACGAAAGCGACACATTCATGATTATGTATGATTTGAGGTTTTCACAGCTGTAAGTATGAAGATTCTTCGCCCTGATGACGAAGGCAGTATGACCTCTGAAACGTTCGTTAACATCGACCAGACTACACAGCGCAACATCCCAGAAGACAGAAATCTTCATACTCTGAGGACGGAGGCAGTATGACCTCTGAAACGTTCGTTAACATCGACCAGACTACACAGCGCAACATCCCAGAAGACAGAAATCTTCATACTCTGAGGACGGAGGCAGTATGACCTCTGAAACGTTCGTTAACATCGACCAGACTACACAGCGCAACATCCCAGAAGACAGAAATCTTCATACTCTGAGGACGGAGGCAGTATGACCTCTGAAACGTTCGTTAACATCGACCAGACTACACAGCGCAACATCCCAGAAGACAGAAATCTTCATACTCTGAGGACGGAGGCAGTATGACCTCTGAAACGTTCGTTAACATCGACCAGACTACACAGCGCAACATCCCAGAAGACAGAAATCTTCATACTCTGAGGACGGAGGCAGTATGACCTCTGAAACGTTCGTTAACATCGACCAGACTACACAGCGCAACATCCCAGAAGACAGAAATCTTCATACTCTGAGGACGGAGGCAGTATGACCTCTGAAACGTTCGTTAACATCGACCAGACTACACAGCGCAACATCCCAGAAGACAGAAATCTTCATACTCTGAGGACGGAGGCAGTATGACCTCTGAAACGTTCGTTAACATCGACCAGACTACACAGCGCAACATCCCAGAAGACAGAAATCTTCATACTCTGAGGACGGAGGCAGTATGACCTCTGAAACGTTCGTTAACATCGACCAGACTACACAGCGCAACATCCCAGAAGACAGAAATCTTCATACTCTGAGGACGGAGGCAGTATGACCTCTGAAACGTTCGTTAACATCGACCAGACTACACAGCGCAACATCCCAGAAGACAGAAATCTTCATACTCTGAGGACGGAGGCAGTATGACCTCTGAAACGTTCGTTAACATCGACCAGACTACACAGCGCAACATCCCAGAAGACAGAAATCTTCATACTCTGAGGACGGAGGCAGTATGACCTCTGAAACGTTCGTTAACATCGACCAGACTACACAGCGCAACATCCCAGAAGACAGAAATCTTCATACTCTGAGGACGGAGGCAGTATGACCTCTGAAACGTTCGTTAACATCGACCAGACTACACAGCGCAACATCCCAGAAGACAGAAATCTTCATACTCTGAGGACGGAGGCAGTATGACCTCTGAAACGTTCGTTAACATCGACCAGACTACACAGCGCAACATCCCAGAAGACAGAAATCTTCATACTCTGAGGACGGAGGCAGTATGACCTCTGAAACGTTCGTTAACATCGACCAGACTACACAGCGCAACATCCCAGAAGACAGAAATCTTCACATTCATGATTAGAGTGTCTGCTTCTATGGGTATAAACTTATAGTACGATACACCGAGAGTCATTATTTGCATTATTTCCCGGCCATTCCAATTTAATTCTTTCAATTCTGGATCGGAACAAGATAGAAGGGGTCTTAATCTTTATCCGCAGAGTGATTCTTGATGTGGGTTGACGCAAGATACCGAAGCCCGCCTTCCTTCCTTTCTGTGTGTGTTGCATTCCTTATATCTGGAATATGTTAAATCCAGGCATTCGACGTCAGTTCTATGAGGTCTGCCTGGTTGCTATGGGTTTCCTAGCTCAATGAAGCAGTCTGGCGAGGAGAGAATCATTCTGGTAGAAGGGCGAAGGTCATCATTAGTAACCCTCGTTTTATTTCTGACACTATTGTACGTTTACGTGTTGGACTCTTGTGTCATTTACGCTGTTTTTGTTGTAATCTTCCTGTGTTGACCATCCATTATACATCCCAATGTTATTCTTTGCCCCTTCGTCCTCTTGAAGGCAATTAATCCCATTAGTGGGAATCAACTCGCCGTCAATCCGCGAAGGCAGAAGGAAGTGATAACGAGTGTGTATTCCTTCTTTTGTTTTGTAGGACTCGTACGGACAGGACACAAATGGAGCGCCAGTAGCTGACCCAGAGCAGGACTGCACCCTAGTGGGCGGACATCAGAACGAGAGTCACACCGTGGTCAGATTTCGGCGCGCTCTGGACACGTGTGACAGTACCCACGACTATGTGCTGGGGGTGAGTCCTGTAAAACTGCTTTACCCTCTGACGTTCGGTGCTACCGCGAAGAAAACACTTCAACGTTACGATGATCAACTTTTTAATGCTGTTGAAGAAAATTATCGCTGTTTACAACGGAAAGTAAACGAAACCATAAACACATGATGAACATTTATTGACTGTTGAAGCACTTGGCTTAAAACGTGCAAAGTTTCCAGAAATGAGTCATAATTATTCTGCAATTAAATTTGTTATTGGAGGTCATACTAAAAATCTTTGGGAGAAATTAATTTGTTGCGTCTGTCAGTTGGGCCTACAATCCCACCTTACATAACAAGCGGGAGGAGGAATAGCTGACAGTAAATTTAACAGCTGCAGGATGGAAGATCGGGGTTCGATTCCCAATACGGATAGAATTCTTCCTTTTTCTCCACCACGTCTATACCAGACGTGCAACCGCCCCCTTTGCTTTGAAGTTGCTGCCAGCAGCTCATTTCCCGCAGGAAGCTGATTTTTCGCCTACATCAGCGCCACGGTTAAGAGTGGAGCTTTACCTCCACTAACACGTCCGTCTTTATAAAATGATTTTGCTTTCATACAAAGCTCAAACTTCTCTAAAAGCTTGTCGCTCGAAACTTATCTGGCACACATTCAGATCTCTTTAAGACTTAAACGTAATTTTGAATTTTTTCCATGTGGTAAATATCTCAAATATTCAAAGTAAAACGCTGGTAATCAGTGGCCCTATGCAGTGTGGAACCTGCAGTGTTTCAGCTGTAAAGATTACATGAGTCAAATAAGAAAGCTACAAACAACTATGAATTTCAATAAGAACAACCGGCAACCCGCCCGAAATTTGTTCTGGATACGTCAGTAGACGGATCTAGAGCATCAGCGTTGCACCATTCTGGCCGGTTTATGCAGTTTCATGCCAAGACACGTAATTGCCGTGTTGCTGTTGCCAGGGAGACACTGTGCGAGTGATATGGGCGACGCACGACGCCGACCCGATGCTGGACGGCGGGGAGTTAGTGGGGATGACTTGGCACGGCAAGGAACACCGAGGGGTTCGCAGCCTGCAACTCCTGACCCCGCCCGTCAAGAAAGCGGCCCCACGCGGGCTCCAGACACAGAACTGGGACGTCACTCAACGAAACGTGAGTAACTTCTGATGCGCCGTCATGATGGTTAAGCATTACATCACGATTATGTCGGACAGTCTTCGGTATGAAGATGACTGTCTTCTGGGATACTGCGCCGTGTAATGTCGCATAAAGCCACGGATGTTTCAGATGTGTTTAATGTCTCCAACATCAGGGCGATCGCCTCAGTCACTGAAAAATACCCAATATAACTGTGGTCTAACGGGTCTATTTTCTTTGCATGCGCCTTTCGGAAACGTCGGTTTGACCATAAGTTTGGTCTGTTCTCATGTCGCATAAACCCACGGATGTTTCAGATGTGTTTAATGTCTCCAACATCAGGGCGATCGCCTCAGTCACTGAAAAATACCCAATATAACTGTGGTCTAACGGGTCTATTTTCTTTGCATGCGCCTTTCGGAAACGTCGGTTTGACCATAAGTTTGGTCTGTTCTCAGTTCACGGTTCCGGACAACATGGACACCCTGTACTGGTGCAAGATATTCAAGGTGCCTTCACTCCAGAGGAAACATCACATTATCGGCGTAAGTACTCGATGTCTGAGTAAAACCATCAGAAATCACGTCTCGATCCTTGATGCAAGGAGGATAAACAGCGGTCTCTGAATTACACGGTCCACGAACTCAATAAGTAATATCAAGTCATCTTAAAAATGTTTGTTATTCGTCACACTAAATATCCATAACCAGAGGAATTACAATGAAAAATACGTAATAATTTCTGTCTGTCATTACACATCTTACAAAGAACATTTAACAGGCATGATATCATCCTTATAAGAAGTTTCACAAGCCAAAGCTCTGGTTGGAAAAATATTTTTCCTGATTTAACCCATATAAGAACGTTCTTGTAGGAACATACGTTCCAATACACACAATCACTTCAGCATCAGCCCATGCAAAAGCTTCTTCATATATGTCGCTGTTTCAGTATGAGCCAGTGCTGCAACCCGGAAATGAGCGCTACATACACCACATGCTACTTTACGAGTGTGTGGCACCTCACCATTTTGCATCCCTGGACTCCATGTTCCAGAAGTATGTGGAACACCCAGGAGAATCCTGCTATTCCAGCGCGATGCCTACAGAATGGGACCAGTGTATGACCGCCATCGTGGCATGGGCCATTGGCTCTCAAGGTAAAATTCTGATAAATCCACGTGTGCAGTTTATTTTCGAAACTCACATTCCCAGCAAGATGATAAAAATATGGTGACTATGGATGTTCAGCTGTGAACTGTAGCGCCAAGGAGAAAAACCTGCAATATGCTGTACTTCGGCATTTGAGTGTAATAAGAGTCACTTGAAGGGCTTTCCTAGGGACCATAAAATAAGAATAACACAGGAAGACAAAATGTGGAATATTTCCAGCACCTCCCAATGCACTCATCATATTCCATTAAATATTGTTGGACGTGAGACATATATGGCCCCTCCATTATGCATTAATTTTACGTATTTGTAACAGAAACACGTAGAAGTCGGAACAAAGTTGTTTGTGGGGACATACAGACCACCCACAACCCAGCATGAGTGACTAATAGCTTTTTACCGTCTATGTGCAGGTGAATTCTTGCCTGACCACATAGGACTACCTCTTGCTGATGGTGACAGAGCGAAGTATTTCATGCTGGAAATTCACTACGACAATCCAGGGTTCAGAAAAGGTAAGAAGGAGCGATGTCATATGATCTTGAGCTGCATCTCTGGAATATTCAATTCTGCAGGGACAAAATCAGTTCTCTTGCTATATAAATAATATTTAATCAGTTTATCAGGAGTCAGATGTGTACTGACGTGTATCTACAACTGTTACAGAAACACCATACATAATGATTTGCACTAGCTGTTAATTTATTAAAGTTAATTTAAGATAATCAGAATCAGAATCCTCGCCATAAGCAAAATTGTTCTTCTACCTAAGATATTTCCACTTTATTTTTATATTTTATTGAACAAATAAGTTTATATGTTGAACTGATAAAGAAACTACGTAACAGCTCACACATCCCATACAACATGACCTTCAATGAAAATATGGTATTTATCCAACTGGTCAAGAAATCCCATGCTTTTATGGGGTTAGATGATTCATGACCGTCATAAAAAAAATCAAAAATTAGACTCTCCTTTACCTGGATGGTGTTTTCACTTGAAGTTTTCCAGCCAAAATTATGTGTTGATTACTCATTTTCTTCATACATGTCACATGCCCTGCCATATGTTTATAGATCAAGCCAACGAAAAGTTGGGACCCGCAGTGCTCAGGCACTTGAAGAACGGGTCGTTCCCAGTATCCCAGTACCCAGATGAAAGATACAAATTATAAAACTCCTCATTATGTAATTTCCTCCAATATTGTATTACTTCCTCTCTTGTAGATGAACATTTCTTCTTTGGCACTTTGTTTTCAAAGACTCTCACTCTACGATCCTATTTCCTTAGAATGATAAAGCAAGTCTCATATCCACACAAAGAAACGTCGATATTGCATGGTGCATGTATTTTCTGCAGTAAAGGACAACTCCGGTATCAGAATCCACTACACGGAGGACCTGCGTCAGTATGATGGCGGCATCCTGGTGAATGGAATCACCATCACGCCCCTTCACATCGTGCCTCCGTACCAGCGAGAGTATCGCACGGCAGGCTACTGCAGTTCACATTGTACCCACAGAGTGAGTTCAACACAGCTGTTTCTATACTTTCAGCATCAGTTACGAGCCTTTTGGAGCAATTCACACGTAATATATCTGAATAGCTAACATCAAACATAGAACATTAATTCAAATTAATTTAAATGCAGACATTTAATTGGTTTCCATTTGAAATACAGAATTTAAGTTTGTCGAAAATATATAACTCAAATTTAAGTACACCTAAATGCAGAACACAAATTCAAGTTCCTTCAAAACACAGACTTTTAATTCAAATTTGTTTAAAATAAATATCCTGATTTCATTTGTATTTTGTCAGCATAAATCCATCTAAATCAGTGTCATTTTTTAAGTGACACCACATCTATTATTGTGGAAAGATTAAAAATAACCATGTTCACTGAAATCATACAATTTTTTTTCTTACCCTGAATTAACTCAGTCCTAAACACTTTTACATCTTCAATGATTAAAGTTCTTTATGCATCAAAACACCAAAATTAAAATGTTAATTAAAATGAAATTCCCCATGGAAATATTTCCTACACGCAAACATAATCTTTTGTTCACGAAAGTAGCCACAGAAATCGTTTCCTTGAGCAAAACTATTGCTTTGATCACAATTCAAACTATTATTTTGTATAAAAAATTTATCTTTTACACAGATGTTCCCACAGACGGGCATCAAGCTCGTGTCAGTGGTTCTGCACTCTCACCTAGCAGGCAAGAAGCTCAGGCTACGTCACATCCGAGAAGGCCGCGAGTTACCGCGTATCGCTGAAGATGATAACTACGACTTTAACTACCAACAGGCAAGAGTTCTTCCCGAAGAAGTAGCCGTCTTCCCTGGCGATGAGCTAGTGACCGAGTGCGTGTACCAGACGCCCAACAGGACTGAGCCCACATTCGTAAGTTATTCGGCCTTCGTGCTTACCAGCCTCTCGGCTAGGATGAAAATTTACAGTTCATTCAGTTTTATCATTAACAATTATTAGAACTAGGTCTATGTTGAATGCAGAAAATGAAATTAATCAGTTATCATTCTTAATTCATAGATAATTGTCAGATAATGCAATACCACTGATGGAATTTTCATTTTATTACTTAGAAACTTCAGCTACAATAAATCTGTTTACGCTTTCTTCCAGTAATAAGATGTCGACTATATACGATAGCGTAGTTTTTACACATTTAGCAAATTCACTTGACTTGATACGAGATCTGTTCACAGGGTGGCTACTCGACAAAAGAAGAGATGTGCCTTGCCTTTGTGTTGTACTATCCACGCACCCAACTCGCTGCCTGCTACAGTATGACTCCTGTCAAGTACTTCTTTGAGACTTTCGGTGTTCGCGAGTTCTATGACATGGACATGGACACAGTAGAGAAGATGTTTCTCGATGTAATCCGCCCAGACAATAAGTAAGTTCTACCTACGCAACAGAACTGTTTCTTGTAACCCGGCCACTCTATTTACTGGGATACTGGGAACGACCCGTTCTTCAAGTGCCTCAGCAATGCGGGTCCCAACTTTTCGTTGGCTTGATCTGTAGACATTCGGTAGGACTCCTTGGACGAGGGATCGGCCCGTCGCAAGGCCTACCTGTACACAGGACAGCACAACACAGAAAAACATCCATGGCTTGAGTGGGATTCGAACCCACGGTCCCAGCGACCAAGCGGCCACTGCGGACCCCAATCTATTTACATATTAATTTTTAAAGTTCTTTCCTCGCAGAGGAAACATAAGCTCATGGTATAATAACGTGTTCTGATTTGTTTGTTTGTTGTTTTGTTTGATATTGCTACCTAACACACTAGGCTAATTCCCGTCTGCATAAAAACAGGCGAAAGACTAAACAGTTTTTGGAAGCTAGAGTTGAGGATACCAGAACAAGAGGAAGACCTAGAAAGAGCTACTTGGATACTATTAGAGAAATAGGACAGGTTAAGGGGAAAAGTTTAACGCAGATGAAATCCTTAGCAAGGGATAAGAAGGAATGGAGGAGGTGGACCGAGTAATCAACCCCGACGCTATAAAGGCAAAAACGGGAGATTACAAAGAAGATACAGATAGGCCTGTCTTCCCTTACAAATGCGAAACAGCACGTGTATTCACTCAATTTGCTTTCGTGTCTTAGGCAAAGTTCGAACAGAGTATCGGGGTCTACAGCTGCGACAACGACCAGCACAGCGCCCACTTTCCCAACTGGACCTACAGATGCTCTGGATGACGAAGCAAACAAACAGGCAATCTCAATGCTAAAGCAAATGAAAGAATTTGTGGTGAAGGATGAAGACGGTAGCCAAGGAAGTTCTGGTGGGCTGTTCGGGGAGCTTGTTATAAGCAAGCCAGATGAGTTCCGGAACAGAAGCTTCACATCTCATCTGGTTGAGCTACCATGGACAGAGAGGTTGCTCACCCAACGAGTAGAGGAGTCCTTGTATGCTGGCAAGCACATGGTATTCTGCAGAAAGCATGATGACCAGCTTGCTATTGTGAGTAATACCACTTCTTCCTATTATTATCGTAAAGCATATTTTGTCCTGACACTTCATTGAAAGTTTCTCCTGGCAAACAACAATAAAATAGTACTTTCAAACAGGCCATTACCACAACCTTTAAAATGTTAATGTACTCATCTTTCGTCATAATTATCACATGTTGCTGTCTGCTCATGACTATTCTCGTCCACCGTTTCAGTGGCTTGTATATTTACGATGATGTGCAAAAAAGATTTTGTCCAGCCCTATTTCTTATGCAAACTCTTCTTGCAAAAATGTTTTTATGTTTCATGTCAGAAGCCCAGGCTTCTTCTGTCGCCCTTCCAAGCTCTCCATTAATTTTTCTTGACTTCCGCCATTGTAAATGTGTCTTATTTTGTGTCTCCTGCTTTGCTTTAGCCAACGCCTGTGACTTATGTTTTTAAAAAGCAAATTATTTTCTTTTCCAAAAAATCGATGACATCTTGTTTTTAGTGGGTGTTGACATTTTTACGAAGTCACTGATTGGTGGCTTTCACTGCCCTTCCAAATAATTTACAAATCTGTTCGAAACCAGTTTTTAATGTGTGGTTCTGGTTTACCCAGGGTTCGTCTAAGTACAATACCGAGCGCTAATTGCGAGAAAACCTAATTTGGTGCAGAAACGCCAACTGTCCCGCAACGATGTCATTCTTCTCCGTCCACCTTTCTTTTGTTTTACATCTGAATCCTATGCGTTTTAATATTCTTAAAGCTGAAAAACGTAAGTTTTGGTATCCCCTTTTAAACTTGAGCGCCTTTCAAATATAACTGATTGAAGTTTTCTTCTGACATAGAAATCCATCACAATCCTGTTTATGAATTCTTTATTAAAGTCGTCAAGGTATGTTACTTTTCTTGGCATGATGACTTTATTTCTGGGTCACAATAACCGGATCTCTCTGCCGCAATAAATACGTGAAACCCTTTATTTATGAATGTCACAAACTTCGGTTGCTATGGCTTTCAACTTCCAGCATTAAGTCTGCTTCCTTCATCTTCACTCGCAAATTTTGGAATAAACTGTAAGCTCTAAGTAGGATTTGAGGTTCTCACACGGTGAATACGGTCAGTGCATCATTATCAGCGCCCTGATGATAGAGGCAGCGAGCACCTCTGAAACGTAGGTAAACATCGACCAGACTACACGGCGCAACGACCCAGAAGACATAAATCTTCATACTCATCGCCCTGATGACGGAGGCAGTATAACCTCTGAAACGTTGGTAAACATCGACCAGACTACACGGCGCAACGACCCAGAAGACATAAATCTTCATACTCATCGCCCTGATGACGGAGGCAGTATAACCTCTGAAACGTTGGTAAACATCGACCAGACTACACGGCGCAACGACCCAGAAGACATAAATCTTCATACTCATCGCCCTGATGACGGAGGCAGTATAACCTCTGAAACGTTGGTAAACATCGACCAGACTACACGGCGCAACGACCCAGAAGACATAAATCTTCATACTCATCGCCCTGATGACGGAGGCAGTATAACCTCTGAAACGTTGGTAAACATCTACCATCTACATCGGCCCCACTTCTGCACCCGTCTTAAATGAGATGTGTAAGGCTCCATCCATAACGCTAATGAGTTTTCCCGAAAAATGCCTGAAGAGGTTCCACCACGCCCATAGAAGCTTGTGTGGCATGTAAGCTGCCTGGTAACTGCAGTGACCTGCACAGAGAAATTCTCTGAACTCCTCTCGGAATAAAAATAATTACGCGGTCAGTTAAAACTGTGCAGAATCCGGCAGGTACAGAAGTAAATACTCCACAAAACTGCACCAATTCATAAGAAACTGTAGAGGACGGAATAAGCGTATGACGATAATATTTTGAATTTCAATCGATTTGCGTTTCTAGCGGGATTTCGTATTCTTGAGAGCTGAGGTTTTCACTGCGGTAAGAATCATGATGCTGTTGTTTTAGGTCTTGGCGCCATACAGACTCGTCGATACATGCCAGTGTTTCGCAGAGACACATTGACTCCATCTTCAGGGCTGAAGTGGACAGCACAGAATTCCTTAAAAACAATTCCACGTTTTCTCGCTGTCAGATCATCCACTTGACGCTTTAAAATCAATTTTATCAGATTTTACAGTCACGTCATTCGCATGTTGCCGTACCACTGACCCAGATTTATTAAATGTTTAGGCCTCGCACTTATAAACCAATCCCACGATCTGAGGATGTCGTTGGCTGTCTTCTCAGTTCTAACGCTGTGTGGACTTGTAAGTGGATGCCAGCTTTTCGGAGGAACATACTTCCTCCATCTTCAACCAACACAAAAGAGGGAGTAAAAGATGAGGGAGGTATAAATCGCAGGATGACATTTGGGCTGAATATTGACACTTCCACATGTGCTAAATAAAACAAAGTCGATTATGCAAATACACACGCAAAATCTTAACAGTCTATTTTCCGTATGCTAATACAGCGTGTTTGGCAGACAGCTTATAATCGAATTTTCCGTGTTCAGCAATAATTATTCACATTATTTTCACGCGTACAATAGAATCCGCGTTGGAGAAAAGTCTACTCTGTTTGTTTGTTTCTTTGTTTGTTGTTGTTTTTTTCTCTAAACTAAAACTAAACAAGACAATTATATTTTGAACCTCAACAGTCTATCAGTGTTGGCCAAAACACAAATAAATGTACTGACGTCGCACTGTGACATGCCGTACGCTTTGTACGAAACACGATATTTCATGAAGTTTTAATTTTGTTTCAGCCGTTGACCATAACTTCATTTCCCAACTTTACGGAACTGCCAGACGAAACCAAGAACAAGACAAAATGTGAAGGGAAGATCAGGAATTTCTTGGGCAGTGGCAACACTGCTGTCTCTTCAATTAATGGCATTAATAACATTATACTCCTCCAGTTCACAATCCAAATAGTCGTTTTCATCACAAGGTTTTGAGCAGCAGGCCTTAACACCAGCAACACCAGAAGTATTGAGCTTCAATAGACAACGATCAGTTCTTGAGTTTCTAGTTATCGAAAAAGGACGTAAACATGTTCCATATTTCACAAAAACACTGGCATTGTTTGCAGTTTTATAATATTTAAACAGCTAGGTTAACGCCCGAACTAAATAACGCTTCTTTCCACAAATAAAATTTTATCCTATTGCACACCGAAAAATCTGTTTCTTTCTATTACCCCATTCCAATGTTCAATTATTCAAGTTCTTATTTCAGAGTTAATGTGGCATTAAAATATATCTTACGGATGTAGAATTTTCTATAATCTTCCTCTCGGTCAAAATCTTTATCCAGTAGGCATTGTTTAAATAAAAGTGGAAACCAAAAGAGCATTATTCTAACCCGAAATAATTTTACTTGTCTCTTTAGGTTCATAGACTACTGCCACATCCTTCTTGTGTTAACATCACGACAATCAGAAATTCCAAAATTTCAGAGTGTTTTTTCTTTCATGAATAAAATATTCTGAAATGGAACAAACGTGAAAGAATAGATTCTTAAGTTATTTAATGAAGCTTCTTCAACTGCAGAGATTATACACTGTCTATTAGGATTGAATTATAATGAACCACGAAACACTTAATTCAAGATAACCTGTAAACTTCCGAATGATTTATACCATTGTACCAACTTTCTCGGTTGTATTAACACATTTTTATGACTAATTTAGAATATTTAGTGACAAAATTGCATTCTAATGGAAACTCGGTGAAGTAGATGCCAGGTTGAATACAGATTTGGATACAGTATTGCAATAGACAGAAGTAAAAACAATCTTGAAGAATATTCTACGTATGAATTTAAAAATACGGATGTTCAGTGTCAAGCTTAAAGTTGGATACAGTAACAATCTTCTAGTCAGCCAGCAAACGATTCCATCATCTGAACGGGACTGCGTTATATATTGTAACAGTGCGGTTTTACAGGTAATGGAACGGAGGCAGCATAACTGATCTACTAATTCCCGCATGTGACCCTTCGTGCACTCTGTCTACCTAATTTTAAATTGGGACGTGTTATTCAAACTTGTTTTTAACACACAGCCTGCAAATTGACAGTCTTCAATGTCTACCCTATAATTACGCAGTTTTATTTCCAAAGGAAACGACAATTTATATCAATAATTACGGAATTATTAACTCACGGATCAAGTAGGTTTTTCACTGATGATAAATATGATTCTCTTTTTTGAGACAGCTTTTGGCAAGCGAATTCTGGAAGGGAGGCTAACCGTTAAATAATCTGTTTAATCTTCAGTGTCAACCAACTGTCGGAAACCCTCGGGCCGTGCGGGTTGCCGATCTTATAAATCTGGGCCACTGGCTAATTTATGAATACAAAAATTATAGTATCGATATTTATTCAGTCCCATACACTGAGAAGTTGGTGTTGAACAACCTATAGTAGGCCAGGCTTCTCATTCGAAATTTACGTTCGTGAAACAAAAATACAAAAAGTTTTGGTCGAGTTACATAAACGTTACGGGCCTATAAAGCAAGTTCTTGCAGACAGTCTTTTGCTTCTTGTCTCGTCCGTAACGTCGTCAACAGTGAGGGTATGTGTATACGTGCGTCCCGTAACTATGGTTACATTGCTGCATTCTTATTATATTATGCTGTAAGAAAATGAAATCAATCCTAGTTGACTGTTGAGAACGGAGGAAAATGTTCATAATTCATAAGCCTCTTATACCCAGAAGCAAAACAACTTTCATTGTGACGTAAGTAATGATTTATTATTCCTGTATCGTATATATCATAGTCTATCCTAGACGTTAATTCTAATCTGTTTTCCAGTGATATTCATAAGAATAGCACACAGTGCACTGTTTGCCAAAGAAAATAAACCTAACATAATTTTTTAAATGTCATCAATATTTTATAAAATACCGCTCAGGAGCCCAAGCTTTAAAGTGCCTCCTGACACACACATACAGCTGGTTCCAAATTTCAATTTTCAGATTTGTGAAACAAAAATTTTAAAAAATTAAATACATTCTTCTGAAGAACGCTTCCAGGCTTCTTGGAGGTCGTTTGTTGGGCCTGTAAACTGGAACAGTACAATTGCTGGTAGTCTGTGCATAGCAGTCCGCATATCAAACCTTGAAGCAAACAGTAAGTACTTATTATCCATTGTTTTGTTCCTTGAGTACTGCTACGTGAACTGAACTGCACAAAAAAGATTCTGTATTATTCCTGTGACTTACAACACTGCACAGATTGGATTTTGCAAACACATTAAATTCTAACTATGACGAGGAATTAGTTAATCATTATTTCGAAGTCTTCGCACAGAACAAATTATTTCAAATAAGAAATTAGTTAATTAATAGACAGCCAGCCAGTCAGTTAGTCAAAGGACATGCATATTGGGCTGAGACATGAGGTTCTCACGGATGTGAAGGAGTCGATCGCGCTGTCTTGTAAATGCTTACCGATGTTATTACAGGACAAAACTGCGTAACAACCCAGAAGATCACTCTCAATTCAATACGACAAGCTTGTATAGTTCCATTACCATAGAACCTGGCGACAATGTCCATGAGCGGCAGACGCGGGGATTTTATTGCTCGCCGTCGCGTTCAGACTGGCTGAAGAAACTATCCAGCATCCTGCCTCATCTAAACCTTCATAAACACATTCTTTGTTGTAACCGCATATTTGTAGAGAAAGTGCATACAGGATCCGTAGACCCATCTTACACTCCAGTCTGGGATAGAATAGCCTACCGATCCCAACAACACGACCGCAGGTGGGACCATCAAGTGTTTTGACGTCAAAGCCGACCTAAATGGAGTTCATGGGCGTCTTACACGCAATACGGTCTGTGCTGACGTGTTCGTCCCCCAAGAGGGGTCTAGATCGCCGGCAGCACTCCTACGTCTCTACCAACGAGACTACAGTTTCGTTTCATTGTTTAACATAATATTAAACGATTATGTATCGACTAAAAGTCCTGAATGAAACGGGGGATCACGCTAGTTGTTTTCCAGAGGTGTGAAACTTGATCTTTTATTCTGAAGGAAGAATAAAGATATAAGATATTTAAAAAAAAAGCGCTGAGAATATTGTTTGAACTAAAAGACATGAATAGGAGAACAGTGATAATTACACAGCAATGAGCATAAGAATTTATAATCTTCGCATAGTTTTATTGTGAGATTAAATTAAGGAAGTTAGACTCTGAGGAACACATACGTGAAACAACAAATTTGAACAAAATTATTATTGGATATCTTCACGTAAAATACGCTAGAGAAACTTACATGTTGACAAAGACAATATTAAAACAGATCACATGGAAATAGATTGTAAAAAATGTAAACTAAATTAACTAAATTCACTAAACATTAATTCCTTCACGTCTGAACAATCTAGCGTAGGTCTATTTTCATTATCTTGCCGATTTTTTATGCATTTGTATTTAATTAAAGAATTCTTCTGATCGTCAATATATGAATACAGAACTTCAGAACAGACTGGATATGGTAAGTTACACATATAGCACGGATTTATATAAAAAACAAGTTTTTAAAAAGCAAGCTATCGGATGACAAAAGTTATGTAAATCGATTCTGAAAATGCGAAGTGCAAGATCGAAAACGCTAAACAATTAAGTTTTATTACAGAGTAAATTATAGGTTCCAGCACTCTAACCCTTTCGTGGAGGCAGGAAAATGTACTAAAGTCTCCACCTTTATTAACGAGCTCTCCGAAACTTTTTGGGAGATTTGAATTAAAGATGGAGGACATTTACAAGCAACTAACAGAACAAAAATGCAGCCAAGAATACACCCACTTTCTGTTCATGTGCTTTTACGTATTCATTCTTCATTGAAAGTAGTTTCTCAGTTGGATAAAATATGCCCTGCTTCAGGAAACCCGAATCTTCGTCATAGCTTTCAGAATATTTTCATAGTTTATGACCAAGACTACATCCGGATTGTATTCACAATTTCGAGTTGGTTATAATAGGAACTAGAAACTATTCGTAGTACCTGACGGGGTCACGGAGTCTATTTTGAGAACAGAACGGTGTGACCTAGTCACTAACAAAAGAAATGTGGGAACTTCGAGGAATGTCAGAAGGGGCATCCCTGTGTTCCTCTACGCGGTCAAGAGTACAAGAAGATGGCTATCACGCAGACAGTTGAATAACTAGTGTCACCATCACGCTTTCACAATTTGAATAATTATTTTACGTGCCCTATGACACGGACAAAGAACTTCATTCAAAACGTACACTGCAATTAAAAATTTGCAATTACTAAACAAACCTCATCACGTATGTTTTCAGGTCTTCACAGCGGTGAGTATGAAGATTTCTGTCTTCTGGGTTGTTGCGCTGTGTAGTCTGGTCGATGTTAACCAACGTTTCTGAGTTCCAGATTAGGACGAAAGACTCTGGTGCATGCAGGTTCCAGTTGCTGGACATGGAAGTTCGCGGAAACGCGCATAAGACCAGATGCGAAGAGAAGCATATGTTCAGCCCTTGTAGGACCAACGCAACAATGCGATGGAAAAGAACGAAGTGCGATGACCACACCACATGAGAGCGAGGCGAATCGGAGGTGTGAAAATATCGATGACCGGTGTGGAGTGTGTGGTGTGGTTGGGGTGGCAGCGGTAGTGCAGGTGGTAGGAGTTGAAGGGTTGCCGGGGCCTGTTGGCTCTCTTTCACACCCCCGCATATACCCCCTTGCTGCTGGATCGATGCAATGCGCCAAGCAAGTGTGAAGTGCTGGTTGCCTGACCAGCCACAGCCAGGGATGGCACGAGATGCTGCCAAGAGCGAGATGGAAGAACAGCCGAGGTGTGTTCAGTTGATTCAGGTTACCTCCATTCCAAGGAACACATTTTGCGGTCTGGTAATATTAAAACTCTCTGTTTAGTTGTCAGTCTCAATTCCTTCCAGTTCTAAGAACAAATCATCTGTACAGCCGCGTATTCCTTTTACGGGAAATCAGTTGAAGATTTCTGTCTTCTGGGCGTCATCAGGGCGATTAATCGCCCTGATGACAACAGGCAACACGTAAGAAAATCGCTCCAGATCTTATTCCGTGGTTCAGTGACAATGTTCGGGACAGTTTTCGGCTGGTGAATTTGTATGTAGGTTCGTATAACGATACGCAATTAATAACATATAGTTGATACAACATTAAGTATGATTGTAAATTCAAGCATCCTTGACATAACAGGCTTAGGTCCTTATTTACAAAAATAGATGAGCCTCGACAGCCTGCTGCCCTATGACCGCACGAGGCTTTCCAGCCGACCGCTCAGACGTGGATATTTGCAAATATGTGATGCATAAAATTCATCATTTGAAAGAAAAAGGAAAGGCCAATTTATAATTAACCATTCGATATAGGCTACGTCAAAAGACATGCATTTATTTTCTTTGATAAGTGCAGTGATTTAGAATTTACTTTCGGGGTATTTACCGAACGTAGCGTTGAGTCTTTAGCACTATTTCTTCGCATTATGGTGATCTGAACAACATTACAAAGAAGAGCATTTTACGTTCCGGTTGCGATAAAATAAATTCTACAGTCTCTTCACAAGGTCCAAGTTCCAGTCATATTTATTTATTTCCTTTTAACTACCGATGTTGTTTTCTGGATCATAACTGCATCAAAACACGTTGCGACATGGTTTACAGCAAGAAATGTCCCTTCCTGTTTCTGTTATGTTATGCATAATTTATACAGGTCCACACGTTCTATTCCTCAGTTTCATTTTTTACATTCTTTCTCCCAGGACCTGACAGTACCGCAATTACCCTACTTATGGACCACAGTGTGGACGACAATAATTTTCGTCAAGCGGCCATTTAATCACGTTGTATACTAAGCTATATTAATAAACCATTTAATTCTAACATCTATTATGCTACATTAACAATATAAAAACGTAATTATATATTCTGTGTACATTTCAGATAAATTTATCTAGTGACAATACAGGCCTGTGATTTGGAAGTTCAACTATCATCACTGGTGGATCAGAAGTATGATAAAGTATGTTCGGAAAGTTGCAGAAGTTTTGACCTTTACTAGAAGGAGTGATGATCATGAAGTGCTTTATGAATCTCTGAGTTACGTGAAATGGCTGCTTCACTAAACCAAATGACTCCGCTCCATGAGTTTAATTCTAGTCGGTTATATTTAATACTTATGGCCATGAAAATTAAATTCAAATTATTTCGTGGTTTCATCTGTTTTCTCTTTCTTCCCAGCCTTTGTGTATTTCATACCTTCAACTCCTTCGGAAGCCCCAATTAATGGTACCTGCACCTTGTCGTGGAGGTGGGGCTTGAGTACCTCAGTGACCCCAAGAGCTACTGGTAGGGCCTTCCTAGCCAGATTGGTCGAGGGAGGTCAGACTAAGACAGGTACCCTGGTCCTCCAGGTTGGGGGTTGGTCGCAAGGCTAACAACCTTGCACCGTTAAAAGAAATATGTTTCGAAACCTAAACCTCGGACAGACGGACCTAACAGAGGACCGAATAGGAGAGGAGAATTGAGGAGGGCATGGACCGAATACGGACCGGAGAGCCATACAAGAAGAACTCCTTCGGAAGTACTACTAAAAGTAGCCCAATTTGTCAACAGTCTAAAACTAGGAAATTGAGCTGCCACCTAGTGCAATTAATTAGAACGTGGGCAGTCATGCATAACAAAAACCAACCATAAATTTTATCCCGTTATGCGCAGATACACAACTTTAAGAGCGCTGGATCTACGCCGTCATTACCAATATTCTGACAGACGTTTTAACATGGACCTAGCTGAGAACGCGAACAGTCAACACGTGTAGCTGCAATATTAAACAACGAACAATGTCCAGCATAAATGGTAAGTAGAGACTTACTCTTATACTACCGGTAGTTGTAGTTTCAGATTCTTCTGAAGAACAATAATTTTTGATAAACATACTAAACCAGGGTTCCGTAAAATTTTTAAACCCGCGGGACACATTAATTTTTCAAAGACGCATCACGGCACACCACTAAATTTCACCTCACGACAAGGAAATACGAAACTATATATGGCCATAGACATGGATCTACCTTTAAATCTTTACTCTATAAGAATTCAGGCATATGAAAACAAAATATCACATATTGAACAAAATTATCGATGATGAACAAGTGTACGTGTGTGTTATGAAATATATATAATATTTGAGGTTTTCACAGCGGTGAGTATGAACATTTCTGTCTTGTGGGTTGTTGCGCTGTGTAGTCTGGTAGATTCATCGTCCTGATGTCGGAGGCAGTATGGCCTCAGAAACGTTGGTAAATATCGACCAGACTACACAGCGCAACAACCCAGAAGACAGAAATCTTCATACTAAAAATCGCCCTGACGACGGAGGCAGTATGACCTCTGAAACGTTGGTTAACATCGACCAGACTACACAGCGCAACAACCCAGAAGAAATCTTTTTAAAATAAAATTACGAAAGTTAAGGTATTGATTTTTTGTAACTATAAGTGTGGGAATATGCAATTTCTTATAAAAATTTGCGGCACTCCTGAAACCTTGTGATGGTACATTGGTGCGCCGCGGCCCACCGATTCAGCAACACTGCACTAAACCAAATACAAATGCTCTTATTAGTGACGCTAACATTTCCATCGATGGCCATTTATATGGAAGGCGCGAACAGAAGTAGAACCGTTAGTTAAACTTGATTAAACCGCAAAAGAGTTGTCATTTCAAATTTATCTGTCTTTTCAGGTTGAAAACACGGCTAGAAACTAGACTAATCGTTTTACTTGTGGGGGAAAAAATTAACACTAAAATGCAGGATATCAGATCTCGTGCATTGTTGGCTAGCATCAACCTTGTGTACATAATGAAGCAATTAAGCGGCTGGAAAAACCTGTTTCCACAATGTCATATCTTACTGCACAACGAATGGTTCGACTACTACTTATCTCAGTAAGGCAGCCAACCATCAACTGCATGTTCCTCGGATTTAATCCTGACACTTCTGTTTTGAAAAACTGTTATCCTGGGTTTTTTAAGCCTCTAAATTATAGTATAATATTTCAAAAGCCGGACTCAGCTCTCGTCATCATGTAAAATGCTGCCTCCATCACAAGACCGGTCAGTATCTACCAGGCCGCACGATGACAGCCATCTTAATAAACTAGCTTCAAATGCACAAATACAGCACCACAAATACCTGTGATCATTTATTACTTTTCAGTCAGTATAGTGACTGACTACGGACTGGACGACCGGGGTTCGTTCCCCGACAGGGGTAGAGGATTTTTCCTCTTGCCTCAGCATCCAGACTGGCTCTGGGGCCACCCAAGTCCCTATCTAATGGTTACTGGGGTCCTGTCCAGGGGTAAAGTGCTACCAGGACGTGACGCTGACCACTCACTCCCACCTAGTGCCGAGGTTAAGAATGAGTAGCAGCCATACCTCTCTCCCCCTCTACATGGCGTAAAGCGTGATAACTTTTTACTTCTCTTAAATTTATTGACTAACTCCCTTCATCCCGGTCTCTACTAAACGATGTGGAAGTTATGAAGTAGTTCAAACATTTTCTGTTGTATGGAATCAGAAGTCGGGTTTCTGTCATGACAAAATCTCCTTTAAGTGGGAGGATTAAAACAAGTCGTGCTTCGTACTTTACGTGGCATCTAAATTATTACTATCGCTTGTAAAATTGCTATTCGTGATGCTTAGTCACATGCCTGGTGTCTGGAGGACACATTATCACACAACAGCAATTAAATAATTTATTTGACAAGTTTATCCGATTATTTTTTTTAGGACAACGAAATAAATCTCGAAGTTTAATATGCGACTGCAGAGTAATTTTACAAACCTCAATCCCGGCTGCTCGCTTGTCAAATATATAATCATAAAACGGATTTGTTATGGATTGGAAACGTTTTTTAAATCGTGGAACGATCAGAAATTTAAATACATTTACAATACATAAAAATAAGTTCTGTTAGGAATCACATCGCCTACTTTCATTTAAAAGATGACCAAATATTATAAAATGATACTTATAAAAACTGGATTCATTTCTGTACAAAATTTCTAAAAGCATACTTTCCCAAAACACGGAAGCTGTCAAACATTGCTCTTTCAGAACACTATAATCTCGTGTTTATTACTTGTAATATACAAAGGATGTTTGATACCAAATTTCCACATTTAATTGTCCAATGAAAGGACACCATTTACAATTTTGTTCCTCGTTGAAATTTTTTTATCACAGTACCACTTTCTCTAAGTTTAAAAGTTTACACTGAGAAGCAATTGCTTGTTAAGTTAGCTGTATGGGAGCATCGTTACTTTGTTATTACTATATACAAGCAAAATCAAAATTAATACTAAAAAATAATTTATCCTCTGTTTTGTCTGTAATATGATTAGATTTGAAACAATATATGTGCATCTGTGATAAATTAACCATGACAAAACGATAAGAAAGAAGACTGTCTTCCGGGTTGTTGCGCCGTGAAGCCTGGTAGAAGTTTACCGACGTTTCAGGAGTGCTTACTGCCATCACTATCACCCTGATGATGGAGGCAACAAACACATCTGAAATGTAGGTAAACTTCTACCAGACTACACGGAGTAACAACCCAGAAGACAACCATCTTCATACTAGTAGCCTTGAGAACCTCAAATCTCACATGTACTACAGTGTTTATAACTAATCTTTTAGACTCTGTCCGTCGTCGGTGATTGTTTAAATTGCCATGTTTCCGAAATCGACTTTAATTCCTTTATTATGTAACAAAAAATGCAAAATCCTGTGTTTGGAGACCCCTTGGTAGGCATATTTTTAAACTAGCTAGTTCTTCCAACTTTCCTTCTTGCCTGCCAACCGACGTCCGATAATTAGCAATTAGCAATTATGAAAAACTGGAACGATGGACGAAGTCCAAAAGAGTAGTCATAAACAGGATTAAATCACTTCCATTTATGTTCTTGCCTCAACGGAATAGCTACTGAAACGACTCCTCACCCCTCCTCGCATGAAACTACTCAAGAACAGATTAACGGATTTAAATACAATTTTATATTCGGGAGTGTTTGCAAGATCTGTCGATATATGCAAATTTTGGTTAAAGATCAGACAACAATAACGAACAATTTATATAATTATCTACATACGTCTTCCTGTGTGGGAAACTACCCTTCGATTCACAAAGGTCAACTAGTGACGAACGTGCGAAATTTTCATGCTGTACTATCGAAATTTTTACCCGGAACCTCCAAAATACGAAACAGGAATGTTAACCACTCGGCCACGACGTCCGGCAATTCTCTTATTTTGTGTATACCACGTGTTCTAAAAGAACTAATTGGGCTGTATCTGGTTTCAAGTTTAAGTGCTGGATATCCCTGCACTAACGATTCAAGAACCGATATGATTATTAAAAGCGGAGGGGGTTTCTTCTTAGACAAAGCAAAGGTGGGGATGATGGCCTACTATACTTTGTCGCTTCGTTTATAACACCGAGTGGCAACAGGCTTTCTCATGTCCAACTCTGACCCAGTAAGAACATACAACTAACTCGTACAATAAGAAGGCATTTCCGTTACAGTGTTTCATCGCAGCCCGTGTCATCTGGAACCGAAATAACTCCGCTGGTACTCAAGTCTGCGTTCAACGTTTACATCTCCAAAAGACCCGCAAGACGATGATAACTACAGTGCGTTATCACAAATCGGCAATTAAGATCTCGTTTATTTTTTATTCCGGGCTTGGCAACAATGATTAACAGTACTTCTGTTGTCAAAGATAAACGACTAATGATGATCTGTGTGTGATGAATAGTTAGTTCGTCGTGAGCATCAATCAAAAGTGAAGTTAAAATTTACTTCAGAATTAATTTACAATAGAAGAAATGTTTTATAATATAAGCTGATAATACAAACGATGTGGCTGTATAGTAAGCTAAGAAGTGCGACATTTATTTTGGCGCTTACAGCGTCAATCATGCCGTATTATAGCGTTTCTTTGTTTACAAATTCACAAAAAATGTATATAGAAAACAGTGTTGGTCATTTAAAGTACGGAGTTCGATCAACAAGAACGTCAGGAGTTTCTGAAGGACGAGTTTTTAATTTTGGTAGTATTTCAAGTCTGGGTAGTTATTTTGTTAAATTTTATAGTTATTTCGAGTCTGGTATGAGCCTCTTATGGGGTTCTGATGGGCATATAGATGACAAATGGGATGATAGGTCGAAGAAGGTATATTATAAAAATTACCAACTACTGAGAGTGATACCACGGACAGACATGCAGGTGGATGACGTATTGGCCTTAAGAGAAGAGATAGAAGGACTGATGTACTGGACAGAGCCGGCGAGGAACCACTCTGCAGACATTCTGATTCCCCCTGATTCAGTGACCGACGTCAAACAGTTCCTGCAGATACGAGGGGTTGAGTTCGTCGTGCTTCTCAAGGACGTGCAGGTAAGTAGAAAATAGGCCATGAATCTAGTTAGGCGCACTGAGAAACTTTCCATGCGAGATAAACGCATCGTATTAGGGACAGCAGAGTTGATTCCATTTCACAAAACATAATTTATCTTAATGCTTACATTGTATGATACATTTCCGCTCTATAATTTGATCCAAATTCACGGTCATGTGGGCAGCATTCTAAAAGATGACTGTCTATTGGTCTGTTGCGCCGTGAAGTCTATTGGCTACATACCAATATTTTCGAGAAAGACACTGCCTCCATCTTCAGGGCTCATATTCCTAACACTTTAGCTCTAAAGAATGAGCAGGATATTTCTCCGATTGGTTGGTATTGGCTTTGTGTGCTTAATAACCTTAAACGTAACTATTCTTTTAATAAAACAAGTTTTAACCCAGTAATAGGTCCAGAAATTTATTTGACACTTTAAATACCCCAATTTTATTGAGGAAACTTTCGGAACTGCCGGAACAAATTATTGCGTGAGGTAAGAAAAAAATAGCTACATTGCTCTACTTTCAACTTAACTACCATCATCCTAAACTGAAGTTGTCTTCTACACTTCTTCTTGAGGCTAAAGTTTTATTCAGACCTACGCCTCTCTCAGAACTGCCCGCGGTTATACATTAAGGCCTACAGACCTGTCAAACTCGAAACGCCCTTAATTTCGGTATAAGATGAAGGTGAGTAGTCGGTTTAACAATCCAGCCGCCTTACAGTCGATATCGGAATCAAAGCCAGTGTCCCACGTAGTAAGTTTTCGAGATGTTATGTTTTAATTTTTAGATAACAGACGATGGACATCCCATCAAAGTTTCATAACGAGGAAATATTTCACCCAGTAGTCGTTGGGGTTAGGGGGCTATTCGTCCCATCTGACGCAATGACTAAATCCATTAAACAGAGTCCTTCAAAATCTATTAGTCGCTCTTTCTTTCGCGGAACCAAAAGTTTCATTTCATGTTCAAAAGACCCCGTTTATATATTTTTATCCCTAAGCTGAAGGACTACCTCTTGTCGGCTGTCTGATTATTTAATAAATACACAGCTACCCTCCTTACCTAGAGGCCGCCTGCTACACAAGAAGCCGCCAAGATGTGATGTCAACGTACGCACTTAATACAGCATTCTTCCCGATCGTGTAACCTCACCTTTTCCCTTGAGATATCTCGACTCACAATCACAGATCAATCATTTGGACTCTTGAATAGAAATAACATCACCCGTTGTAGGGCAGCAGAGTAAAACCAGGGGGGAAAATGTCTCAAACTGGACCGGAGTGCACAATATGCCTGTCCAAGTGGTTCTGACAGACAGACTGTGTTTACGACCAGGGCTGTATAGTGTTTTAGTGATAGGAACGACAACTTCAGAATGTTTCATAATTTTACTACTACTCTTAGACCAGAAATTACACGTTGTAGGTCTGTTACATGTAACAGACACTTTAACATACTCTGTAAATTATATATTTTACCATGTACATGGGTAAAAAATAGAAATAAGTGGAGACTTTGTTGCTGCGTTAAGGCTTGTAATACAGCGTTCACCAATACCTGATGCAACGTCTAGAACATTTTCCCCACTCACTGCTCACTACAAATACAAGTGAATCACTTTAAAAAAAATTTGCACAAAAGTTTCAACAATGTTATGAAATATTTGAATGTAGCTTATCGAAGCCCGACTAAAATTTACATGCTATTTGTTCCAAGCGCATTAAATGAACGCATAATAATTAGATCTTGTGTTCGAAGAGTGTGTTAGGGGCATACTAAAGGACGTGGAGCAAATTTCTTCACAGCCGTAATAGTCCAGTACAGCAACTAATTTAAATGAATCTCAATCTTCTTATTCTTAAATGATTCATAGAAAATTCTCCCATAAATAATTACGAGAACCTGTAACTTGCTACATTTATCTACACCATTAACATTTATACTGTAGAAACAAGTTAGAGAATGTTATTTAATGAAGGAAGCTGTCATAACAGAATTAGCCGGCAGGCCTTAGGTTACACACGCTTAATTACTACTTGTGGCCACAACACATAAAATAAACAATTTCCTCATGATGAGTAATGTTGTCACACCACGTAGGCCTACCAACTGAACAGCTTCACATAACGTTTATGACAATATTTTGGGTGCGAATATATGACACCAAACGTCTCCCTGCAATGGTCAGCACTCCTGTCCCGCATTTTTAAGTTCCCAGTCTTAAATCTCGGCTCGAAGACCGGTTATCCTGGTTTTCCTCAGTCCCTCCAGGAAACCTCTCTAACCTCTTAAATCAGATCACTAACGCTGCCTTCCGTATCATTTCCTGTTAATTATCCGCAAATCATCCTATCATTCGAAGTTATACAATTTGGCTTGTTGACAAAATCGTTAAATAAACAACAAACATTCAATAATTATATAAAAAATAAGTTGGACATTTTCCATAGTCTGAGACTTAATTTATATTACACATCTTTGGTGTTGGCAGTATCATTGTGCTTAACGTTATATTTTAAACTTAAAGAGATTTATTCAATTCAATTCAATTAATTTATTTACGTGTTTGCCAACAGCAAGAAGCCAATAACAGGCAAACACAGATAATACATACAATAATAATGAAATAATAATGGATAATAGTAAACAATCATAATAAAACCCGCCGAGAATGAAAGACTACTAAAGTGATCAAGAATTCTCTGCTTAGGCAGTTCGTAATCCTGTTATTAAACACGTTCTTTGACAGCCGCAAAATTCATTAACTACAGGCCATTCGCACAAAGTCGCAAAGTAAATAAACAAAATAGAAGCAGCGATACTTCGAAAACAAAACTAACATGTTTGAAGTTGCTAGGTTCATACCTAGCTTTCTTTTTTCCCAAGTAATAGTAAAATAAATAAACCAGTGCTGTGATACGATGCTACTATACTAACAAGAGTTTTCTTGAAAAAAATAAACCACAGACCACAATTTCAGAAATTATAGTATACACCATTATCAAGTCTATGAACTATGAAAATTATTTTACTTCGTATGGGCCAGGTTCTGCACTGACTCCTTATTGCTCCACAATTATTATTTGACTTAACAATGAGTGGATTGCTATTAAATGTTGCAGGGAAATTTTGTCTCTCGCTCAAGGGAACAAAACAGCAATTGATTCCAGAAAAATGTTTTTAACTATGTAAGATTTGAGAAGACAGAAATCTTCATGTTTTTAACTAACCTGAACGAAGTAACAGCTTCTTGTAAAAAAAATTATATGACAATAATCTTAATATATTTTACCGAACATTGTGAGAATAGTTAAATCGAAGGACAAGACAAGCGACATGCAACAGGCGTAGGGGACATGATAAATGTTGGTTGGGAAACCTCACGTGAAGAGGTCACGTGAGATAATTATGCATAATCTGGAAGATAATATTAAAACGGTTCTGACAAATAAGGTAAGAAGATGAATACTGAATGCAACATGCTCAGAATGGGGTCCAAATTTGGGCTTTTACGAACTTGGTAATGGGGAACCTTCGTGTTCGATATTAGAAGTGAGTTACTTCAAAGTTGAATCAGAATAAACTATTTTAAATGAGACCCTTTATCAGGGATGTGATGATGATATTGTAAACACGATTATGCATCTTAAAAGCACAGCATTTCTTGGCTGGCTTGTCAGTTACCAAATTTCCATGAAGGTTCCTGCACCATCAATAATTTATAATTGTACATTTTCGTTGTGTGATAAAATATAAACTACTATTCTGAAGAAGGAGCCCATGCAAACGCACACGTGTAGCATAAGGCAAGTCATACGTAGAATATTCCTCTACCATGCGCCGTTGCGTTCTGGCGAACCTGGCAACAAGACATTTCTAACATCCTAGATAACAGGCGTGTGGTCACCCTGGGGCTGCCTGTTTCTGGGTCAAGGCTGCACAGACCGTTTAGACACGCCCATGCCTCGATCATAATGAGAAAATAATTTATAGCAGACCTAAGACGGAGGTATTAACAGGGGGCTTAAGAAATGAGGAGCTTCATAAATTCTACTCTTCCTCAGGTTTTATTATGACGATCAGATATTACACGATAAGACGTAAGCGTTTCTAGGACGCTTGGGAGAGATGAGAAATACGCGTACAATTTTGGCTGGAAAACCTAAAAGAAAGAGGTCATCTGGATGATCTAGGCACAGGTGGTAGAATATTAAATAGGATGGGTAGGTGTGGAGCGGATTCATTTAGCTCAGGATAGAAATCAGTAGCAGAATTTTGTGAACACGGTATTGAAATTTCGGTATCATAAAAAGTGGGAAATATCTTGGCTCTCCGGGCAACTGTTACCCCCCCCCCCACCGTCTCATAGGTCTAGATTAGGAAAGTTTACACAATTTTAAGTATCCCTTACAAATCTGTAACTTTCAACTTCGTTGCGTTTTTTTTTACAGTAAAATATTACGTTTTACCTCAAATCAGTACAATTTGCACCCTAACTTACAAATTTTCTAATTTACAATATCATATTTCGTTCACTGTCTCTCTTAGCTTTCCATTTTTGCCGAGAAAAAAATTCGATCAAGGAGACAGGGAGTAAAAAAGAACTGGAGTTAATCACAAATTCTAGTGCACATTTTCATTATTTTTAGCTCCTCTACTTTTGACATTGTTAGGATGATAAAAATACAAACGGTGAGAGGAATTGGAAATAAGCAGACACAGGAAAATGATAAATGGTTACAAAACTAACCACTCCAGCTTTTACACTACCGATTTCGCTTTGGTGAAGTTCGCAAGCATTGAAAGAGATACAAGAATGCACTGAACTGCTTCGGAAGCTACAAATCTATTCCGCGGTCATTTTAATTGATGACAGCGAATTATTGTAAAGTGCTTTTAAAACCTTAAAAAGTACCTTCTAGAATACTTCTCTTTTTTGTCTTGTAACACCATAGAGATGATGTCTTTCTCCTCCTCACCACCGTCTACTT